TTGAAACGATCACGATGGAGGGGAATTACTGACAGAATCTTCATTGTTGTGTGATCGAACCCATAACTTGAACATGGTGAATCGGCTGTAGTTGAGCAGCGGACGGGTCACAGAGCTGTCTGTCTCAGAGTTGTAGTTTCAGCTCTTCTTCTGTGTTTCTCAGGGTCTCACAGTACTGCTGCAGCTTCATCATCATCATCCTCAGCTGTTCCTGCCTCTTCGGCTCGGCCTATCACAGCACTCGTACAGGCTCAGGCCAACAACAGCAACAACAAAACCGGCACCTTCACTGATGATCTGCACAAGCTGGTGGATGATTGGGCGAAAGAGACGCTTGGCTCCGCCCCTCAGCCCCGCCCCCCTGTGTGTCAGATCAGACCATCTAGATCTCATCACGGCTTCCAGACCGGCCACACTCACAGTCAGGTACTGCCCGTATGGACTGTTGTGATGGATGGATCGCTGTCTCCGGGTCCAAGCCGCTACTCATATGAATTCAGAACATATTTGTTCATGGCCACTTTTTAGTTATTCATTCAATCATTCATGTTCTTATTGGCTTAGTCCCTTTATTAATCAGGTAATAATGCTAATGAGATGGAGAGATGGACACTAGTGGGCGGGGCTTTCCCCCTCTGATGACACATACACAGGGAGAATGTCAATCACAGTGTGTCTGCATCAAGTCTGATTAGAACAAACACAGTTCAGTACTGCTGAGCATTACAGGCTGCTGGAGATACACACACACACACACACACACACACACTTATAAATGTAAGTTTTGCATAATAGGTGCTCATTAATGCATACCAAAATGATTACTCGATCTGATGTTGTTGTTGTAGATGCGAGGCTCTGCCCCTCAGTTTGGTCTGCCTCTGTCCTGTCCGCTGACCGCAGCTCTGGGTCCCATCATGCCTCATAACCCGTCACCCGTTCTCCAGCACAGCGGCTTCCTGATGCCCACCGCGCCCTTCGCTGGGATGGTGTCCGCGCCTGTGTTCCCGCACCCGTGGCCCACTCTTCCCAGTGCTGTGGGCATGTTTGGAATCGTCCCGTATCCCACCATAGCCAACCCAGCCATCCAGACCTTCCCGATGGTGCTCAAGAGTCCAGACGCGGCCAGCAAAAGCAGGACTGCATGAGCTAACTCACTGCGTACGCTAATCAGACGGAGAATCACAGTTACAGCACATTACACACACCAGCGGACCACCTGTGTGTTTCAACTGTTTCTGGATCAGTCTGACAGCTGCAGATGATGATCGACACTTCTGTGCGCAGCCTGTAAATATCAGGTGTGTGTGTGAGTGTGTGTTTGTGTTGATTAGCATGAGTGTGTTTGTCTCAGATCAGACCTGCCTGCACCTTCCCCTTCTCGGTTTTAAGTTTTAGCTCCTGAAGTTTAACTCTTTATTTGAGCTGTGGCCAGACACTGATCCTGAAATATCTAGATATTCTCTCTTGAGTCTATTCTGAGTGTAGAGTTTAACCGCAGATCGTGCTCTAGACTAGTGTTTAACAGCAGACGGCGCTCTAGGCTAGAGTTTTAACAGCAGACAGTGCTCTAGCCTAGAGTTTAACAGCAGAGGGCGCTCTAGACTAGTGTTTAACAGCAGATCGTGCCCTAGACTAGTGTTTAACGGCAGACGGCGCTCTAGGCTAGTTTATAACAGCAGACGCCGCTCTAGGCTAGAGTTTAACAGCAGACGCCGCTCTAGGCTAATGTTTAACTGCAGAGGGCGCTCTAGGCTAGTTTATTGCAGCAGACGGCGCTCTAGGCTAGAGTTTTAAAAGCAGACAGTGCTCTAGCCTAAAGTTTAACAGCAGAGGGCGCTCTAGGCTAGTTTATAACAGCGAACGGCGCTCTAGGCTAGAGTTTAACTGCAGACGCCGCTCTAGGCTAGTTTATAACAGCAGACGGCCCTCTAGGCTAGTGTTTAACAGCAGACGCCGCTCTAGGCTAATGTTTAACAGCAGACGCTGCTCTAGGCTACAGTTTACCAGCAGACGGCGCTCTAAGCTAGTTTATAACAGCAGACGGCGCTCTAGGCTACAGTTTACCAGCAGAGGGCGCTCTAGGCTAGTTTATAACAGCAGACGGCACTCTAGGCTAGTGTTTAACAGCAGACGCCGCTCTAGGCTAATGTTTAACAGCAGACGCCGCTCTAGGCTACAGTTTACCAGCAGAGGGCGCTCTAGGCTAGTTTATAACAGCAGACGATGCTCTAGGCTAGTGTTTAACAGCAGACGGCGCTCTAAGCTAGTGTTAACAGCAGACGCCGCTCTAGGCTAATGTTAACAGCAGACGCCGCTCTAGGCTAA